ATGCCTCAGTCTCTTCCCCCAGAGACTCTGAATTAATTGGTTTTAGGTGGGAGGCCCAGAGAGTAGTTTTTTGGGTTTTTCTTTGTTTTTTTTTTCAAATAAAGCTCCTTCTGAGTCCAGGCTGAGAGCCACTGGCTGGGACCCAAGTCTGTTGCCGTGTGCAGCTGCTGCTTGTGGGGTGCTGGGCAGAGGACTGCCCCTCCCTCTGTCTTTGCACCCTCGCCGGATCCCCCCAAAAGCAGGCAGCTGAGCATCTGGCGAACACCTGCACTCTTCCACCCAGAGTGGGGTGACCTACTTTTTTTGCCTGTGGCTTCTCTTGCACATGGGGACTCTGGGGACAGAGGGGCAGATGGAAATGTCGGCATGTCTGTGTTGATGCAGCGTTTGGGTGTCACCCAAGCGCTTGTTTCCCTGTCAGATTCCGGATGCGGCATTTAGATAGTGAACCGCTGCCGCCAGGCACTTGCTGGGGAGATCAAAGCACCCGGCAGCATCCAGAGACATCCCGGGCTCTGGCTGCCAAGCGCCGGCAGCTCTGGGCTTGGGGCAGAAGGAGAGCTGTGCTCGGGTCGTCAGGACCGGAACGCAGACTCCCGGGTGGCAGCAGCGGCCTGAGATCCTTGCTCCCCACGGGGCTCCCCTCACCCTGGTGCCGGCTCTCCAGCCACCAGGGAGCAGGTGGGAGCCGCCTGTCCACGCCCAAGCTCGCCTGGGACATGGACTAAGGTGCCGTGACCCTGATGGCTGCCTGTGGGTGCCACTGCTCAGCACAGGGATACCCGGAAGCAGGTCCAGGGGATCGGGCCACTGTCATCTCCTCCTCCCACCTCTTCCCTTTAAGGAATGATAAAGAGATGCCATTCCTCCTGTGGTCCGAGTGAAGGGCTGTGGGTGGACACTGCCCAGCCTTCTGCTTTAGAAGGTCTTGGATGTCCCCGTGTGTCCCTGGGCGCCTCTGATGTGTCTTCTGGGACTAGCAGACCCAAGTCAGCAAGAGAAGGAACCAGGCCTGCGCGATGCCGGCCTTGGGCACAATCCGGAGCACCTGCGTCCTTCTGGGAAGTGTCCCTGCTCACTGCGAGTCCCTAGCCACTGCCCGGTGTCACCGGTGTTTATTAACCTTCCCTACATACAGCAAAGAACATCCTGTCTCTCCTAACGGCTCTCAAGAATTTCAATTACTGAGCGTTTGGGCCCTTCCCCCCGCCCCGCAGCAGGGGCTGTTATTCCCATCTCGCGGGCTGGATCTCCGAAAGAACAGCTGGTCTCGTCCTGCCAAGGGAGCTCGAGGGAAGAAGCGTTTGACCAGGGACACACCTGGGCTCAGGTTTCAGCTCTGGCCTCTGCTTCTCCGCAGCTCTCAATTCCTCCCCTTGATGTGGAGAAAGTTAGGTTCCTCTGCGCAAAGTGCCACTGCCGGTCCCCACGCTTGGGAGGCTCTGGTCCTCCCTTGGGATCACTGCTCCCCCCAAGTCTGGGCATATTTTTAGCCTACAGCCACCTCTCTCCCCGCTCAGAGAGGCAGGGAGGAGGGGGCATCACAGGCAAGGGGCTGTTTCTGGGCCCCCTGGAGGATTCGTGATGTCAAGAAAGGGCGGCCAGGAGAGCGCCCAGCAAGGGGCAGGTGCGGCTCCTGTGGGCGTCTTCTCCCTCGCTCCAGTTGGCCCTGGCGGGTGTAATGTGAGTGTGAACCTGGTCCCCACAGGAAGTCATCCGTCTGGCTGGGCTCAGGAGGGTGGGTGGGTGGGTTTGTGGCCCAGGTGGAGGGGACAGACTTGAACATCCCTTCCCATGAAAGCCTGGGCTCTGCAGGTTCTCCACCTAAGGAACAACAAAAGGGCTTCCCGGTCTTCACCTTTGCAAACTTCTAAACAAAGCATCTAGATCAAGAGGGTGGCAGTGGTGGTGTGAACCCATGGAACTGGTCCCCCAACTCCCTAACCCCCCCCCCCAGCAGGCTCCAGCCTCACTGGACCTGCCGGCCCCACCCAGCACCCTCCTGCTCCCCGGAGCTCACACAGGTGCCCAGCTGGATGCCTCTGCCTTTGACCTTCTTCCTGCCCTCCGGCCCTTCCCGCCCTCCCAAGAGGGAAGTGCTCTTTCTCCTTGGAATTCTCGGAACGCTTTCTTTCTCTGCACTTCGTCATGGTGCACATCAATTCCTCCTTTTTATCCTGGTTTCCTACCTGCATATCTTATATCATCCCCGAGTTGGCAAGCGTCTTAACGACAGGAGCCATAGCTCATCTGCCTTTATGGCCACACTGCACCCAGCCCTGCAAACGTTGATTGAATGAACAGACTCTCAACCCAGTGACGTTCTGGGCATGTGTGGCATCATGAGAAGGTCGTTCATCTCTGCCTTGCTGTTGAAGTTGGGGACGTCTCCTGGCCTGGGGAAGTTGGGGGAGGGGGAGGGGCTTGTTCCTCCGAGCTGTCAATCAATTAATAGCCATTTCCTGGGTGCTCACTAGGTGGTGGTGTTAGGTGCTGAGAGGGCTACACGCCTGGACAGGACTCAGCTGATGTCACTCTCCACCTCCCAGCCTCTCCCTAATGCATGAACGACTCCCCTGATCCACCCCCCTTGAAGGCTTGCCCCTCCCCCGGCATCCCCTCTGCCTCTTCTAGAGCTGCCCTTCTTCGTTTTGCATGTCACCGTGTCTTTAATCAGAACTATTTCTTTCCACCCTTAGTCACTCAGTTCTCACCCACTCTGTCCATCCTCCGCACGTTGTTTCACATAGGAGAGTCTGTTTGTACGTGTGAACTTCAGGTGCTAAGCCCACGTGCCTCTTCCGAGCAGCCTTTCGGGATTTACCTGGTAAAGCTCACTGCTTCTTCCTTGGAGGTATCCGCTGCCCATTGGGTTATTTGCCTTGTAGCATAGTTTTTGTATTAGATGTTGTACTCATACTGATAAAAGCCTAAGCTGCTGCAAGCACTTGAGCAACAACGCAGTGGGTTTTTTTGTTTTGTTTTGTTTTTTGTTTTTGAGACAGAGTCTCACTTTGTTGCCCAGGCTACAGTGAGTGCCGTGGCGTCAGCCTAGCTCACAGCAACCTCAAACTCCTGGGCTCAAGCCATCCTCCTGCCTCAGCCTCCCGAGTAGCTGGGACTACAGGCATGCGCCACCATGCCCGGCTAATTTTTTGTATATATATTTTTAGTTGGTCAATTAATTTCTTTCTATTTTTAGTAGAGACGGGGTCTCGCTCAGGCTGGTTTCAAACTTCCGACCTGGAGCAATCCACCGGCCTCGGCCTCCCGGAGTGCTAGGATTACAGGCGTGAGCCACCGCGCCCGGCCTAATGGTTTAAATAACAGAGCGCATCTCTCTGTCACGCAGCATCTGTGGGGTGAGTGAGTGGTGTGGGTGAGTGGGGCCTCTTTGCCCCTTGTGCTCCTCCAGAGCCAGTTTCCTCCACCATCTCCTAGGCATTATCATCACAGACTTGGCCTAAGCCGGGTCGAAGTACGTTCAAGCCAGTAGGAAGGAAAAAAGAAGCTTGGGGAAGGCTCTCGTTCAGATGTTACCTTCTCAGCGAGGCCTGTCCTGGCCGTCAGGGTAGCCAGTTTCTGCTGTGATAGTGCTGCCTGACAAACAACCCCAGCGACCCCAAAGCACAGGCTGTGGGGGACAGAATCCACCCCTTGCTTATTCAATCAAACACTAACTAGACACTGCTGTGAAGGGACTATGCAGATGTAATTAAGGTCACTAGTCAGCTGACTTTAAGATAGGGAGACTGCCCTGGGTCATCCAGGTGGACCTAGTATAATCTTTCTGCCCTTAAAAGCAGAAAGAAAAGCGGAAGAGAGATTGCAGGGATGAGAAGGCTTCAGAGTGCCACTGCTGGTTCGGAGCTGTAAGGACCAGAGACAGGCCCCTACATGCTGGGAACAGCCCCCAGCTGACAGCTGGCAAGGACGTGGGAACCTCAGCCCCACTTGGCACAAGGAACTGAATTCGGGCAAGGGCCAGCGTGAGTTTGGATGCAGATTCCTCCCACAGCCTCCTGAAAAGCACCCAACCTGCAGACACCTCGATTTAGTCCCTCTGAAACCTGGGGCCTGCCTGGGTTGGCACGTAGATCGGGCTTGGAACAAAGTAGGAAGCCGGTCCATAGTTTTTGAATGAATAAATGAATGAATGATCTCAGTTGTGACACCACCACCAAAGTCCTTGTCATGGTCCGTGATTCATTTTGTGCAGGAAAAGCAGCACGTGCCCCTGCACCCCAGGAAGGCGGACAAAGTTCCCATCACAGTGCGGAAGCAAAACTCAACTGCCAGGTCTGGTGTGGAATCTCCGGTGGTCTCGAGGGGTTGTAGGAAATTCTAAATATAACCCTCAAAAAATCTGCTGCGATAGCAACCCTTTTCTCCCTCCGCTGGCCGCTGGAGGGGCCCGGTCTATAAATTCAAGCAACAGGGCATGCCAAGCCCCCGAAGCCTTCACTCCTGGAGCTAAAATAATAATCCCGGGTTTTTGGCAGGATTTCCTGGGTACCACTTAGCTTCCCTTGAGCATGAAAGGACAGGCAGTCCCTGCCAAATGTAAGCGCCACCGAAAAGTTGGCTGAGGTTGTTAGTGCCTTTCTCTCGCAGTCAGCTAATTGGTGGATTCCACCGGCGTTGGTTGTGTGCCGGGCACAGGCCTCGGTTAACCCTTCCAGTCCCCCAAAACAGTGGACGCTGTGTTATCGTCCCCTCTATAGACGGGAAACAAGCTTGCTTTCCCAAAATTACGCAGACAGAGGTCACGGAGCGGAGCTTCAAGGTCAAGGCCAGTGCGCTCCCTCCACTCCATATGGGTGGAAGGTTCTAGGATTCCTGAAACTGGGCTTGCCCGGGGTGTGTGTGTGTGTGTGAGTGTGTGTGAGTTCTGGGCCCTGGGTGCTTATGTTGATGTGTGTGTGTTGTGTGAGATCTTCCGTAACCCATGGCCTGGCGGTTGTGCACCCTAAACTCGCATGCTCTGAATTCCCTTCCAGGACGCAGAGGCAGCACGGAGGCCCCGGAGGAGTGGCAGGTGCACGGAGCACAGGCGAGGAGTGGAGGTGGACTTGACAGCACGGTCTTGACCGGGAGCCACTGCCCTGTGCACCCAGGGGCCTTCCCGGTCCCATCCTCATCCTCAGCACCTGTGACAGGGTCGTGTAGAACACATACCATTTTTCATTCATGGTTCCTGGCTCCTGACTCCCTTGGCCCTTGTTACAGGCTTTTGTTACCATGTTGGGGTGCTGTAGGCCTCAGAAAATGGAACCTCTCTCTCTGACCTCCCCCTGCCCTCTTTTCCTCTGCCCAAGGCAGGACTCCGATCTTCCCCCACCTTTCTGCCTTGGAGCGGCCGTAAAGAAATTCTCTGCCCCGCCTTGCCCGGTTGTGGGTCACGAGACCCCCATTTCAGAAGGGGCCCTGCCCCACACCCTGGAGGAAGGATGCTGCACACAGAGGCCAAGAAGAATCTGAACACACAGGCCTGGCTGAGTGTCACCACTCAGCCTATCAGTGTCGGATCACGCCCTTTTTGTTCAACCCCGTCTACACAGTTGTCAGTCTTGCCTTTCCAATGAGGTCTCCGTTGAAGGCCCAGGAGGGCAGGGAGTGGGGGGCTGCTGGATGGCAGAACAGGAGGGTCACTGGAGGGTAGCATGCGGGCACAGTGGGACAGTGTGGGAGCTTGGTGCCCCTTCCCATACTCTATGTGTCATCTGTGTTCTTTGTAATATCCTTTATAATAAACTAGTAAACGTGTTTCCCTGTGTTCTGTGAGCCACTCTGGAAAATTACTCGAACCCAAGGCGGGGGTCTCAGGAACCCGGATCTCTAGCCAGTCGGTCAGAAGCACAGGCAGAGCAGCCTGGGGCCTGCGATGGGCGTCGGCAGTGGGGGCAGTCTTGGGACTGAGCCCCCACCCTGTGGGGTCTGATGCCATCTCCAGGTAGGTGGTGTCAGAGTTGAATTGGAGGACACCCAGCTGGTGTCCACCTCGGGGCTGATTGCTTGCTTGGCGTGTAGGGAAAAAAAACCCACAAAGTCGGTCACAGGAGTCTTCTGTGTTTGTTGTCGTGGTGTGAGAGCAGAGGAAAAACAGTGTGAGTTTGCCGCACACAGACCACCACCCGGGATAAGACGTGTCAACAAACACGTGGCTCTGCGCTCGCGTGCTGTTCTCCGCTGGTCAGCGCCCTGCATCGCGCATATGATGGTTCATTTCTGGGAAAAAAGAACACGCAGAAGATAATTGTATGGAAGGCGATAAGTAACGTTTGTCATCCCTTTTACACCTCCTCCTAGGCCACATTATGGTAATTCTTCTATAACATGGCAAATTGTAATAGACGAGTCAGATGATAAAACAGACAGGCAAGCAGAATTTGCATTTAATACAACCGTGGTATCCATCCGATACCTCGGAGGGGTCAGGGCTCTCTGATACTGGGTCACCTGGCAGCACATGACCCTTTGTTCCTTCTCTAACTCACGGTGGATATTCTAGGAACGAACTGGTGAATGCAGCATTTCAATCAAGACATCTGATCGCTCCAATGTGCAGATACAGAGTTCGGGCCCAGGTGCCCTGGAGTCGCAGGCAGCCACTCAGCTCCGCAACATACAGCTAGCTGGGGCGTCCTCTGCCAGGACCTGAGACTAGCGTCTCATTTCATTATATATGCAAATTCATCATTATACTACCCGCATCTATGGGTTATTTTTTAATGGATCCGTGTGCGTAGTACATGCTCAACTAAAGCTATTTATAATAGTATTGAGGTGGTGGTCTGGTGTGCGCAAACTCACACTGCTTTT